GACCCTGTGAACAGGAGAGTTCTGCACCAGGACCAGTCCAGATGTTCAAGGGACCAGCCCCCTGCTCCTGAGGGTCACACTCCGGGCACCGCTCGTTCCTGTGGGCACGTGTCTGAGGGCGGGTGGCAGGGGCAGGGAGGTTCACAGCTCATTGAGGCCCCAGCCAGCACCTCCCAGCCGTTCCCACTCCCCATCAGCATTGGCACTGTGCCACCTGGGTCGGTCATGTCTCCTGCAAAGGAGCGTTGCACCTGGGAGCCACTGGTGTGCTAGCGGCAGCCCAGGGCCTCTGCCAGGGTGCCGGGCATTTGCTGAAAGGGAGGGGGGAACAGGTGTGATCCTGATCGGACGCCACATGGGAAGGCTGGCGAGGACGAGGGGTGGCTGCAATGCTCCTTTGCCGCGCCAGCCACCACCGGGACTCACCGCTGACGCGCCGAAGCGGCATCAGGAGACGGGGAGCCGCATTGCTACAGGGGGTGGCCACAGCCCTCGGAGTGGTGCGAGGAAGTGCCCGGCAGGGTGGCCCCGTTTCCAGGGTCGGGCGTGCGTGAACGTGGGCTTGGGTGCAGGACGGCAGCTGGGGTGCCTTTTGCACTAGCAGTAGCCGCAGCGACTCGAGGCCGGGCGTCGCAAGGCCGCTGTCTCTGCCACGCGGGCCCTGGCTCCTTGCAGCTCATCCGCGAGATGGCACAAAGAGACCCTTCGTCCAAGCAGCGGCGCCCCCGCCCTCCCTCCATCGTCCGGCCGCAAGGGGACCGGCAAAGGTCAGCGGCTGCCTCAGTACCAGCTTCTCGGGGACAAAACCCAGGCAGGGGAGGCTGGAGACAGATCTTTAGTGTTGAGCGTGGGCCCCTCTGCTGTGGGCCCCTCTACTGTGGGCTATCGCTAGCCAAGAGGGGCACAGGGCTGGTGTGTGTAGACTTCCTCTGGGCTTTCAAGGACACCCATGGGATGAGAACACCCCACCTCTTCCTGCAAGCACTGGGATCTCCCCTGGAGGCCTGGCCCCGCTCCGAGCACTGGCCCAGACAGCACCATAGCAAAGGTGCGTGCCCACACGCCCACGCATGCATTTGGGACCCCAGCTGCGACTTTGCCCTACGTTTGGGAACTAAGAGCCTGCGGGGGCCCGGGAAGTGGCAGCAGCTATCCAGCCGGCCTGAACGACGGGTGGGGCTGGGGGGGA